TCGGGTGACAGAATCTCCCTGTAGTCGTCACCATTCATGTCGTCCTCTTCACTGTCGGACATGGTGTGAGCAGGTCGGGCGGTTGCTTCTGGAGCACTGTCGTCACTACTTTCAGTGTAATCAGAGTCACTTTCAGGAACAAAGTCACTGTCTGTGGTATCTAAATAATCAAAAATATCGGCCTCATCCATCACTGAACTTGGCCCAGCCATTGCCTAGGTGAAAAATCTACAAAAAAACACCACCATACGTATATAATAAACTAAAGAAAATTACGAAAAAGTATAATTAGCACTATATAAACTTCAAATAAAAACAAAATTGCTTAGCAAAAAAATTACAGCGAAAACTACAAGCAAATATCGTTAGGATGTCATGAGGTCAACTTGTGGGTTCAACGTTTTTAATGTGTTCAAAACAGTTTTTGTTGTTGTCCTATAGGAGCCATCTGTTGAGGAAAATAGGAACTAAGTCTTTTTTGTGGTGTAGGAAAAACAATTGGTAAACATTAAATCACAGATTATTAATCTAAAGCATGCAGAAAACTCTTGAGGAAATGTCACAGTTAATAAACGCACCGCACAGGAATATTCTGTGCGTTTTCGGACATGTTGGAATATATGTCGGTGTGTGCATCTTATGGACGGAAAGATGAATGAATGTGAGTGTGAACTCAGATCCAGTGTTTTCGTGCTTATTTTCTGATGGGCTTAGATTGAGGCTTAAACAGAATGGATTTTCATGTATTAAATTAACAGCAGACGTGTGTGCACATAATCATCTGTGTTTGGCCTTGAGTTTTGAATTCAGGCAATACATTTAACATATTTAAAAATATTTATTATATAAGAGTTGCAGAAATAATTTAAATGTGTGAAGCGTCTTGTAGGTTGTACAACAGTATCTTTTACAACTACCCGTTTTTGAGAAATTTATGAATCAGATATTGCTGGCTGTGGAAGGGATTGTGTGTAAAGTTATGCCATGACTCAGCATTTTAAAACTGGTAAGGGGAAGGTAAATTTATCCCTGATGTTTAATTAACCACCACGTCACGATTATGTGTTGGGGGAATTGTGGTACAGCTCCATTATATGATTGACTAATGCACCACAACTTTTTGGCAGCATTAGGATTTGATCGTTGCAAATGTAAACCTTTTAATAGGCTTTGATTTCAGTTTATCAGCGATTTTTCAGAGGAACTTGTACTTTCATTAAGTCAGAAGCTTTTCTCCATTTTGACAATACAGAGTTTACTTTTCAAGAATACATGAAAGTCGTAGGAAGACGACAACAAGAACATAACCCCACTTAAAAGTTAAAACATTAAATATGTAAGATATTTAAACATGTGCCTTACTTTCAAGAAAGAATATCAGGTACAGGTATTTTAATAAATGGGTAATACCGAAAACTGAAAAGGATAATGCAGTGGGCTAGATTAAATATTATGTAATGAGATATTTTCTGGTTCATACATCCCAGCGATTGTAGTGTCAGGTAAGGATATCTCAGTTACAGTCGGTGGGACATGTAGGGAGGGAAGAAATTCCACAGAATATTGGTGGGAAAATCTCTTGTAAAGCGCCAGCTTTGGAAATAAAGAAAGCGGAGCATAGCATTAAGATGGACCTTTGAGAAATGACCTTGGGGGCAGCAGGTGAATTGAACTCTAACCTTGAAGATATGATTATGAGTCAAACATCCCTTCCAGTAAATGCGGTAGTGTTCATTAAATTAAGGTACACACCAAAATTAGTAGCCAAGCAAAATTGAAGGGTCTTTTTAATCTAGGTGTTCTCTCTAGTGCCTTGTCGCACTTTACTTTAGAGTCAAATTTCTGGTACGTGCCACTAACATTTATGCATCATCCTGCAGGGCGTAAACTGGGATGAAGTGTCAAGAAGACAACTGGTGATGCCACACCCACTAGATTTTGAGGGTGAGGAGGTCAGTTCCATTGAAGAACATTTTGGATTGAACAAGGTTTCATTTTTGTCACAAGCCAACGTGTGGCAAGAAGAATGAGGTCAGGGAATGTTCTTTTTCTGAATACACAATAGATGAGAGAAATATTCACTTCACATACATGCTTTATTATGTTGGCAGATCCCATGACTATTTAAATTATTTATGGT